AGCCTGGACTGGATACTGGTGGCCCTCCCATGACAAGGTGGCAGGAACTACCAGGACAGTATTTGGCAAAGGAGTACAAATTTTCCCCATCACAGCCCTCCTGTAACTGGGCGGGGGCAATCGTTTCCCGAAAGCTCAGGACAAGTGGACCGGAAGTGGCCAGAAACTCCACAATAGAGGCAGCACCGTTCCCGCATACGTCGTTCCCTCTCAGTGGGAGAGAGCCTGGTGTGGCCCAACTGCATCTCCTCTGGAACATCATGGGTCTGTTCAAGGATTTGAGGTACTTTGGACAATGGGACATAACCAGGAGAAACAGTGTTATTCGTAGAAACTTGAAACTGCGATGTCCGTCGACGTGCCACTTTCCTTTCTCTCAAGCGATTGTCTAGGCGCATGGCCATTTCAATAAGGGACTCAAGATCCTTAGCTGGCTCTCGAGTGGCTAACTCATCTTGAAGAGCTTCGGACAATCCTCCCAGAAAGCAGACTTTCAAGGCCTCATCGTTCCATCCACTTCCTGCAGCGATGGTCCGAAACTCGATTGCAAAATCTGCAGTACTACGGAAACCCTGGCGAAGGGTAAGAAGGCGTTTGGAGGCCTCCTGACCTTTGACTGGATGGTTGAACACCCTCTTGAACTCCTCCACAAATGCTGTATAGGACTCACAACAACTGGTTTGAGACTGCCAAACTGAAGAGGCCCAGGAGAGTGCCTTGTCAGACAGTAGGGTGATAATATAGGCAATCTTTGAGCGGTCAGTGGGAAAGCTAGAGGGCTGGAGTTCAAAGGTAAGTGAACATTGTATGAGGAATCCTTGGCAGGAACTAGTATCACCGGAGAATGGCTTAGGAGGAGGAAGTCGGGGCTCACTTGCTGAGTTAATTGCTGATACGGGAGGCTGACTATTGTTACTTGTGGGTGTGGTTGAAGGGCACGGGCGTTGCTCAGAGAGATGACGGATGGAAGTCATTACATCTGCCAGTAGCTCAGAGTGTTTTGTCATGAGCTCTTCTTGGCGACGCAAAATCTCTTCATGACGCTGATAGGAAGCTTCGTGCCGTGCAATAACAGCTAACAGGTCACTGGAGCTGAGTGTCTCTGGGTTCATGTTGCACTCGGTTTTTCTGTCACGACCGGGTTTCGAACCCGGGTCTCTGGTGTGGAGACTGAAGTGTGAACCACTGAGCCAAAGAGGCAGTTGTGTTGGAATAGAACCCAAATGAGACACTCCAAGCAGAGCTCCAAAAAATAAAGTCTCTCTTTAATGAAATTATACAGGGAATCAAACTCCACGAGGGGAAAAAAGCAAAACAGCTGAGCAACGGCAAAAATGTAACAAAAAGAAATTCCCTTACTTGAGGAAGAGCGAGGAAGATTAGGGTTTACAGCACAACTGTGTCCAAACAAAAACCGAGTGAAAGACAGGGAAACAAAGCAGCACTTAAATAGCCAGTTGTGATTGAGCACAGGTGAAAAACATTACACTAACAAAAAACCATGAAGAAGAACTAAGGCAGCAACAAGTGTGGTGGCCTCTAAAGGCAGGGAGAGGAACTACTGCATGTGACAATAGCACATGAATGAATATGATTTTAAATATATGAAAATATGAAATATAATTTTTGATATCTAAACAGTATGGCTAATATTAAATAATGGAACAGTCCATTGGTTGTAAATGATCTTAAGTAAAACGTGACCAGAAGTTCCTCATCAGATTGATTGTCAAAGCAATACAAAATTACCACCAACAGCGTAATCTGTGCAAGACAAGATCAAAGAACAAAGGAGGACTGGTACACAAAACAAGCTAATAAACCCCGTATTATACACAGAACAGCATCTTTAGTGCAGATGGTGAAATCACCACGACATCATGCTACTACCGATCACAATATGAATTTATTCTGGTTTAACATAAAATGAACCTAAAAAAATCTATATTTCAAGTGTAGTTTTTTTTGTTTGTTTACAAACTCTCTTGCCTTTAAAAAAGCTCCTAACAGCTCTGTAATGCTTTAAAGAGTGACGAGGGAATGTGTGGGCTCTAAATGTTGTCACTTTAGTGTGGTGAAAATTGAGGTAAATGGTGTGGAGATGAATACTCAAAGTAAGAAAATTGTAAGTTATTAAACACACACATTTCCCACAAGTAGCAGTAAGTTTTTGAGTTAAAATTCCCCAAAATCTTCTATAATACTAAAAATGTCTGTCCAGAGTGAAAGCTGTAAGGATGTATTAAATAACTTCACATTTACACCTGATTGTTCATGTAGAAGACACCCCTGTGTGTCCGCAGACCTCTGAGGGATGGCTCAGCTTTGCTAAAACGATTCAAAGATTAAAAAATATATATATATATTAGCTTTCATCTGATCACAAAACTGCGGAACCTATTATTGGTGTAAAAACAACAGGGAAGTGATCATAAAAAAGGTAACATCTCGGATGAATAACCAGATTGCTGAGACACACATACAGTATAGGTAAACATAATTCTTCAGATATAGAAAAGGTTTCTGCTGAAATGTCAAGAGACACTCCAGATTGCAATACACTTGTGAACAGCATGTAATGCCAGGCTTCACACTAACTACAAGAAAAAGAATAAAAAAACTAAGATAACAGATGTTCTCAGTTGAAACATAGCAGTGACAAGGCAAAGTTTGATTAAAATATTGAAAAACCACGACATGTGTTTGCAAATCATAACATATGCTTTAAATGTTATAATGCTTAATAAATTCAGAAGATTTGGTAACGAGTTTTTATAAACGTTTTTATGGTACTTAAAAGATGATTTGTATATACGCGATGCAACATATTTTACAGTCAAATTTACAAATGCGTTCACACTGTTTGTCAGAAGCACAGTTATATTCCCTGTATTTTATTACATTCCAGTGAGAAAAAGAAAGAAAGAAAGAAAGAAAGAAAGAAAGAAAGAAAGAAAGAAAGAAAGAAAGAAAGAAAGAAAGAAAGAAAGAAAGAAAGAAAGAAAGAGAAAAAACAAGTATCAAGACAAGGGAGAAGAGTGGGGCAAGGTAAAGGGAGAGGAGATAGAAAGTGTGATGACCCTATAGGGTAACTGAAATTCTGTGTCTGTATTTTTTTAGATAAACTATTTTTACAACATAAAGCCACTCTGAGATGGTCATCTCTTTTTTTATATTGAATTTCTACAGCAAAAAAAAAAAAAAAAAAAAAGAATGCATTTTCTAAACCCAACAAAACAGAAATGAGGCTTCAAATATAACAACAGACCTGCAGAAAATAATGCAGTTTCTGTAATTTCAGCTGATCATGGTGTTTTTTGGTCGATGTGTTCTGATTGACTAAATGCCTAAATGACTAAAGAAAATGAAGAGAACATCCATTAGAGTTTTGAATAAATATTTCAAGTGTTTTGTTAGACATAGTGTATTGTGTTTTTTATTGTAATTTGAAAAGTAGTTGTGAATGTGTGAGGGATTGTGTGTGTTGCCCTGTCTGGGGTGTACTCTTAGCTGAAGTGTGCTGGAGATCCGCAGACCCCTGTGACCCTGAAAGGGAACAACTAGGTAATATGAATTAAGAAATCTTTAAATCAAATAAAGTGCAACTTTTAAATTTCAACCATGTAGTTAAAGTAAAGAGGAGAAATAGTCTATAGTTAAAGTCCTTTAAAGTTAAAGTGCCGCCCACCTCTGCTTCTGATTGGCTGGATTGTGAGCTCCAAACAATGAAAAGAGAATGCTTTCCATCGAAGGTGCTTTCAATCAGAGTCTTACACTTCTGTGATTGGCTGACGATCTGGATTGAACCAGTACTTCCAGATGTGTCTTTCTGCTGTTATAATTTGGTGGCAAACAGTAAAATGCATGTATCAGACTCTCAAAGCGTGAGACTTGACAACCCTGTCTATTTAATGGCATGTTTTCCAGCATATGATTTGCAAAACTGGTTTGAAAATTCTCACTGGTCAAGTTTTCCCTATCAAATATTCTACTTTTGACCCTTGTCTTAATAACCGGAGCAGCAACACCCGCTGTCTGCAACACAGTACTGTTCCAGATTAAATTATTCTCGTCAATTTATGAGAAACTGGTTAATAGCTAAAGAGGTGTCTGCCCACAATGAGTCGCAATCTGGTCAAATCCTCCTCAGAAATCACTACAAAAAAAATCTTGGTTTCATAAAAGTTGCAAAACCTTGTATAACCAAATACCTTGAAAAACATCCAGTTTTCATCTACTGATACTGAGAATAATTGTGCCTTGCAACTCAGGACATCTTTAATAGTAACTTTACTATTCGCTCAATTCACACAATCCAAATTCTGTAAGTGTATGCCTTCATGTCTTTAACCACCAGTACCTCAACTGTACAAAAAACAAAGCCAGCAATGTGTTTTAGTTTGTTGGCGGATTATCTTCATTATAATAATGGCTGTCTTTCTTTATGTTCCAACATGATTTGCTTTCATTTGTGCTCTCCCTCATGCTTGGCAATAAAAAGCCGGCTGTGTTTCCCTGAGGATTTGGACCTCTTAATAAGATACAGCTAAGGCCACAGTTTCTCTGATGGTGTCATCTCTTTAATTAGATTTCTCATTATTTGTGCAGCAGAAGAACTAAATCTGTGCCTGCTATCAGATCAAAGGAACAATTCAAACATTAAGATACTATGCTGTGATGTGCTGAAGAGAATTCTTACCTCAATCTGGGATATTTGATTAAGGTTTCCAGATATCGGGAAGCCTGAAGAAAAATCTGTGTTTGTTTTATTCTAATGGTTAAATGCAATTCTGTTTATTTTTATTTCTTCAGTAGGCCTTTAAATCTTTGTTTTATGATGCTTCTGACTAGTGTACACATCTAAACCAATAATGTAATAAAAACATTTTCTCAGGCAGGTAGGGATACAGGTGTTTTGGTTATTTAACTAATGGACAACGATGTTTCCTAAATATGCCATTGGATAACACTTACCACTCACTTACCAACCTACCACTTACCACTTACCGGTACTTAACACGGTGCTTTTTAACATAAATAATCAAAACAGATAAGACGTTCTCAACCACTTTCCAAATTTCCACATTCCAAAGCATTTTTCAAAGCAGTTGATAAAATACAACTGCATCTTTTAAGTGCGAAGGAAGCACAAGGACCCAAATGCAAGTTGTTCACAACATTTATTCAATCCTCAAAGATAGAGTTCACTCAGAAAGGGTTTCAGTCTCAAACGCCGATGACGCTTGGAGATAACGGAGCGCAGGAGCCAGCAGCGGACAGTGGAGAGCCTCCCATTTTCTCACAACCACCGAATTTAGAAGGGAAAGATTATGTGGTTAGACACAGAGTGAGAGGATAGAGGGGGAAAGCCCTGGTCACACTACTCCTGAACAATCTAAATTTCACCACATGCGTTTGAGACCGCCCACAATACAGCATCACAAAAAATAAACAATTCACTATATAACTTATCTAAATTAAAACAGGATGCTCTCTAATCTACTGTAAAGCAATATTGATGTCCTAAAAGTGAACATTTGTGTCATATTGACCTTGTCAATGTGGCGGCTCAAGTCGCACCACATGACCCGATATCGCAGGTCAAAATTCCTCCCAGCTGAATTTTTCATAAGAGTGAAATCGCATAGGAAGGAGCCTTCACTTTCGCATCGACGGATGCAATCCAATCCATGTCAACTAAATTTTTTCATAGTGTGACAGGATGGTCACAAGGAAGCTTGATTGGTGATCAAGGTGATTGGTGACTCACATCTGATCTGAATAAATGAAATGATGAGGAGAGAAGAAACACAACAGGAGACACAAAACAAACAGAATCAATTCACTTATTAATTAATAAAATTAATTAACAAAATTTGTGCCACATGAATTGTCTGTATTTTCTCCTGATTTTAGCCCTGTCTACATGTACGTTATTTAAAAATGGGGATTTAGGCTTTTCCTCGACATGTAAACGGCACAACGTTTTCATGTAACTGCTCATTTCGGAAATAACAACCAAGGTGCGTCTTTTTCAAAATGCTGGGAACACCCATGTGGACAGCGAAAACAGGTTCAGAGGTTTTTCATTAGCTGCGTTTCTATGGAGCAAAAACAATGTCAAAAGTATTTGAAATAAAAAGCTTGTTGAATTACATAACTGGGAAAACAGTGCTTACATTTTAAGGCATTGTATTTAC